GATTGATTGATTGATTGATTGATTGATTGATTGATTGATTGATTGATTGATTGATTGATTGATTCATTCATTCATTCATTCATTCATTCATTCATTCATTCATTCATTCATTCATTCATTGCCAAAGATGGTGGATTCGTCTTCATTTACAAAGAGGGATCCTACAGGCACAGGGGGCCGGCCCAATTACCTCCCACCCCCAGAACACAACCAGTCCCCTTACCGTGTGGCGTGCATGGCTGGTGTCATCACCAGCGTACCAGTCACAGCCACAGCCCAGCTGCCACTGCCCCACCTCCTTGCTCACCCGGTCACTCTGGTGCTGAGCCGGGGAGACTCATCATCCTGCCCCTTTCCACCGTGGAATAAGTGGACTGGCGGATTCGGGGGGGGGGCTGGAGTTAAAGGCCCACCTGTTCTGGTGGGATTCATCCTCGTAGGCAAAGACGAATCCCCCATCTCTGTTCATTACACCTCATTACACCTACATTATTGTGTTGTGGTGGGTTCTCCCTGTTAGGGAGGGACATTATTACGCAATTATCTGTGTCAGGTATCAAAATGACTCGGAGTGCAGCTACAGGGTCATATATGGTGAAATCTGCTCTGCTTATAAAATGTATGAATTTGTATATATATTTTAGTGTCTGCATGACGTGCAAGGCTGATTTGACTTGTACCCACCTATTTAATGCCAAAGCACCTTTTCCCCCCTCTATCTGTAGAGGGCTTCAGCTTTTTCATGATGGGAGGATTCAAGCGTGTGTTTCTCTTCTGTACACGTTCCTGTAAAGACAGAGGTGTGTCTTCAGGTGAAAGTTGGGTCATCCCCCCGCAAAAAGGGGGAAACAACCAATGCTTTGAAATGCATGTGCGTACGCACAGCGCAACGTAACTGGGATTTCCACCCACCCGCCCATTCTCAGTGGCTTTGTACATTTGGCAGAAGTTGAAATGGGAAGTGAGAGCCAAGGCATTCAGCCTGTAAAGAGGGAGAAGGAGTGAGGAATCCCGGTACGTACTATTTGGGGGAGGGTGTAGGGGGTTTACTCCGGATTAGTCCGGAGCCAGGTAGGCAGATGAACAAACCCAGAGGATTTGGGAGAGGTCTGTTTTCACAACCTGGTTGGGTTTTCCATTTTGGCCATGAAGATCTCGGCAGGGTTTGCAACCGACAAAGGCTTAACTCTTAACAAAAGCAAACTAGGCTGCTCGGATAGAACTACAGATGAGGAGAACAGGGTTCAAATCCCCTGCTCGGCCAAAAAAGTCACTGGGGGAGTGGAAGGGGTAAAACCACTCCTTAAATATCTCACTTACCTTGAAAGCCCTCTTAGAGTCTCCAAAAGTTGGTTACAACTTGACAACGCAGAACACACACAAAAGAATTAGGCTGCTCGGGTCAAGACAACGTAAAGGAAAAAAACGGGCTAAATCTATGTTTGAACAGCTTGGCGGAGGAACTGTGTCCACCTACCTCAGTCACTGCTTTGTCCTCGGCTGCAGTTGGCGGACTTAAAAACATTTTAGTGAAAAACGTAGAGTCTGACAGACCTAAAATCTTCCTTGTCCCAAGTTAATCGGTTAGTTGGAAAAGTTGAAATAACACAGGTGGGCAACCTTCTGTCTGTCGAGACCTGCCTTCCTTTGCATGTAAGGTGTCGGACCACACCTAGTATTGCGGATTCCCAGTGTGGTGTAGTAGTGGATAGAACGACAGATGAGGAGAACAGGGTTCAAATCCCCTGCTCGGCCAAAAAAGTCACTGGGGGAGTGGAAGGGGTAAAACCACTCCTTAAATATCTCACTTACCTTGAAAGCCCTCTTAGAGTCTCCATAAGTTGGTTACAACTTGACAACGCAGAACACACACAAAAGAATAAGAGGTTTATTTCCATCTGTGCATTCACTAATGGCCATTTCTGACCAAAACAGTGGATTTTAATCCATGTGTTCTTGTACTGGCATAAATGTGAGTCTTTTACAGATTTGTTGTGTTTGTTTACGTGGGCCTGTTAAGCAATCAAGAGACATTTTTAATGTGTTAAAATTCCGGCTTCACTCCTGTACTTGCTCCCTCCAGCCCAGCCCAGCCCTGGTTTCTGCCAGCAAACCGCGAACCAAGAAAAAAAACCCATATATTTAATCCGAAAAGATAAAGCATTGAACGCCGTCCTTCAAACAAGCATATGCAGCAGCCCCGTGTAAAATGATTTTTGTTCTAAATGGAACTGCAGGCATCCTTCGTCTTCCTGACAGAGAGCCTTCGTTAAACAAAAAAGGAGATTAGTTGGGTTTTGTTTTGTTTTTGTCTGTAACCAGAAGCAAACTGATCTCTAGCAAACCTGACCTGTTGGGTCTGGGATCCTAATTGAAAGAAGTTCTGGGTCATATTGCCCTCTTTTGTAGGGGGGAGTCAGCGGGAATCCATAGCTCCTTCTGCGGAGGCTTCCTTCCTTTGTGAATATGGCTCTATGACCCTCTGCTGCACCATATGGTGTCCTGGGCTCCTCCAGGAGTGGAGCCACTGCTTTGCCCTGAGAGTGCTGCCGGTTCAATTCCCCGCCTCTCCGCAGAATGCTAGGCAAGAATTCTGTGTGATGCCCCAATGGCGCTCAGTGTTAGCAGCATTGGGCTAAGTGCTGACCTGAGCAGAAGGGAGTTTTCTATATTCCAGAGACCTCCAGCTAGACTTGACTCTGTCTGTCCTTCCTTCCTTCCTTCCACCCAGCCTGTCCATCCATCCATCCATCCCTCCTTCCTTCCTTCCTTCCTTCCACCCATCCCTTCCTTCCTTCCATCCCTCCCTCCCTCATCCCGCCTTCCTTCCTTCCTTCCTCCTTCCTTTCATCCATCCATCCATCCATCCATCTCTCTCCATCTATCCATCCATCCACCCATCCATCTCTCTCCATCCATCCATCCATTTGTCTCTTTCTATCCATCCATCCATCCATCCCATCCATCCATCCATCCATCCATCTCTCTCCATCTATCCATCCATCCACCCATCCATCTCTCTCCATCCATCCATCCATTTGTCTCTTTCTATCCATCCATCCATCCATCCCATCCATCCATCCATCCATCCATCTCTCTCCATCTATCCATCCATCCACCCATCCATCTCTCTCCATCCATCCATCCATTTGTCTCTTTCTATCCATCCATCCATCCATCCCATCCATCCATCCATCCATCCATCTCTCTCCATCTATCCATCCATCCACCCATCCATCTCTCTCCATCCATCCATCCATTTGTCTCTTTCTATCCATCCATCCATCCATCCCATCCATCCATCCATCCATCCATCTCTCTCCATCTATCCATCCATCCACCCATCCATCTCTCTCCATCCATCCATCCATTTGTCTCTTTCTATCCATCCATCCATCCATCCCATCCATCCATCCATCCATCCATCTCTCTCCATCTATCCATCCATCCACCCATCCATCTCTCTCCATCCATCCATCCATTTGTCTCTTTCTATCCATCCATCCATCCATCCCATCCATCCATCCATCCATCCATCCTTCCTTCCTCCCTCCCTCCCTCCCTCCCTCCATGAGCTTTCTTGTGCCTTGATGTTAGCCCACATCCTAAAAAGGGGCTCTCCTGAGCTCCTTGCCTTTCACAAGACGCTGGATCATGGCCACGTTGCGAGGTTGAGCAGCACTGGAGAGGGGTGGGTGGAAGGCAGCCGCCCTCCCCTCCCCGCCTCACTTTCTTATCTCTCTCTTGGCGCCCACTTGTGAGCCGCTCTGGAAATCCCTTCTCTGCCCCCCCCTCCCTGCCCCCAGCAGCCGCTGCTCCTCTCCTCCCGTCCAGGGGAGGGCCTGGTGATCAATTTCTCCCCCAGCTAATCCCATCAAGCTGAGCACATCTCCTGTGTAATAAGCATTTATGATCCTGTTTAAGAAGCTTTTGCCCTTGAGCAAATACCGTGTGTTGGTTTTTTTTAGCCAAGAAGGGGGGGAAAGGGGTGCAGGAGGGGGTTGACGGGTGGGAAGCAAAGACCCGGGCTGCGTGCAGCTCTTTGCAAGTGAATTTATGGGACTTGTCCTGCTCGGTTTTCCGGGGCAGCGTGCCAGCGGTTTTTATGGAGCACAGTTTGCATTAGTGGTAATTAAACTGAAAGGAGCAGGCGACGGCATCGTTGGGAATAGTGGAGACTGTATGTGCGTCTATATGTGTGTGTGTGTGTGTTGCATGCATTGAGTGGCATTCCTGGAACGGCTTCCCCTTTCTTGCAAGAATTAACTCTTCTGCAGCCTTGCATGTGATGGCAAGGACTGGAAAGCCAAATGCTCGATGCATAAGATGTGAAGAGCAGTAGCATCCTCTTGCGAGTATCCTGAACCTGTTCAGAGCAAGCGCCTCTTTTGTCTGTCCCGGGACAAAACTCTGAAATAAGGTCGCTGCTGCTGCTGGAGGTGGTGGCGATTCTTAGTTTTGACGGAGGCAGGAAGAGATCGCCAACCGTGGAAGGCACCTACTGGCTAGTACCGTGAATGTCACCAACACACCTACACCCAGCCTGTGGAAGCGTTTGCAGCTCTTTTTTTGAGACTTGTCTGGCTTTCCACTCTGCCACAGACTTGCCGCAGAGCCT